CTACAAAAGACGGGCAATGTAATAGCCAGACAACACGGTCATCTAGGACAATCTAAAAAGCCCTGTTATACTCGAACGGCGAACTGGGATGAGAACGGTGGAGATAATTGACTGAAACGTCGAAGAATAAAATTATAGGGGATGTACAGAAGCGGAGCCTTGCTATGTCAGAAACACCAATGACGTCACTGAGGCTGATGATGAAATGCTTGCAAACAGCCCCGTGAGCATCACCATCTCCTAGGGGCGTTGCAATCTTAATCAGACGGTACATTTCAATCTGTGAAAAAATCATGCTGAAAACTGTCACTGTTCTTCAAGGATAGATTCCAGTAACCTTTTGTCATTAAAAAGCTGTAAATCCCTGGTTATGTAGTGGTTCGTTAATTAGGATCACCTGAAAATAAACAAGGAGCACAGTAACAGATGAGATGGATTTCACAAGCATAGACACCACTCTTTCCCCATGGATCAGTTGCGCAAGCATTGAACATTGACTGGTCGATCGACAGCCAAAATAAGGGAGAGAAGCAGTTCGACCAAAGTTATCTCCATCGGAGCCTTCTTAGCGAATGTTTTCCAGTTCAGACGGTCTTATGCGACTGAAAACGAGGCATAACAACACCGCCAATAGCGGTCGTTAGAATCGAATACATGATGCAAGAAACACACTCCGAATTTCCAGATGCTTAAACCCACAGGGAATGAATGGTTAGATTGTCTAAAACAGACAAACCGTTTTCTAAGGGGGGGACGGACGATCGGGATCCTATATAGACAGTCTCAACGAAGCGTGTGCTCACGTGCATAACGTACCCATGCCAATCGACAATCAATAGAACCCAGTTTGGTTCGCCGTGGACAACCCATATGCTCAGACAGCACGAACTGCAGATTGGTGATCAGAGCAGGGTAAATGTGTCTGTGTGTCCGTCGTAAGAGCTGGACGACGCTAGTGTCTGTGTACCCAGGGCACGTATGACTCTGTAGTGTTCGGTTGCATCAACCATGTATTGTCGATATTATAAAGCTCAGTGGTGATAGCGCAAAGAGGTGAATAAACTTACATGAACCCACATATCACCGTGACGTTCTGATCACAAAACCTTATGGCTTCTGTACCTGGAGCACAATTCATCCTAGTGAGATTCAAAACGATGACTAAATTCGGTCGCGAATTTAGGAATACATCATGCGCCACTCACAGGGGAAAGTAGATCAGATTAGACCCTTGATGAACAGTTGTTCATGTGAAAATAAAACTTTGGCTTTTTACTCAGGATAGGGATTGAAATAGCTTACGGATAACAAAATAAGGTTGAAAGACACAACAGAATAGTAGGCTTGGTGGTAAACAAGAGTAGTTAGCAACTGTCTTAATACCATGTACTACAAATCGAAAACTTAACCCGACGCCTAAGAATAGGGCCCTAACGAAATGTGCTAGTTTTTTTTTGAATTAGTCAACATCAAAGTTGTGTAGCACTAATGCGATGTAACTGCGGTGAGTTTTTCACTTCTCAGTTTTTACAACCATTAAGAAAGCACTTTCATGCACCGGTTTTGGTTGCTGTCTCTTGGCCGCCCATTTGGACAAAAGAGCGGAATGAAGATTGGAGTGTTGAGAGCAAATCCAAGGGAAAGATAGAGAACTCATGTAGACTAGGGTTGCAAGAATATCGAGTAAATGTACGAGTTTCTGTTTGCGACACTCGGCCTTCACACTCAGTGTCTCTGACCACCGGTTACCATGATCTCGAGGTCCTCATCCAGGGAGCCGCATTGGATCTATGTGACCCAGTCTCTAAGTTAGGGTTTTCATATCCTCATATCAGGTCTTAGTTTGACGATCCTTGACCTTTTTCCATCCGTTACCTGCCTCGGCAAACATCGCTTGCCGTTGTGTCACGGACCAGTAGGACTTGAAGCGCTACGAACAAATCATCGGAAAACTTGAGAATAGGTAATCAAGGGATGCAAGACAAATTATATACGACTCTATTCGCGCTGCTGCCAATAAGAGAAAATACAAAAGTCCAAGTTGAAAGGAGACACAGAGAACAAACATCATCATTACCAACACCAAACAGCGAAATACAATGCAACCAACGTGGTCCGTCAGATTCTAGTGAATAAGAAACTACAATCCGGTTAAGGATAGGATTGAATTCAAGGAGGACAAGTAGTCTACTAATGTAGTAAATTGACTACATAGTCTATACATACGCCATTACATGGTTCCACCAACTATTACTGGGGTTCGCTAGCATGTATTACAATATCGACAACCAACCCGTTACGGTACCTTCGAAGTCATAGTCCAGAAAACAAGAGGTATTTACTCTGCATGGTTGTTTACGTCCTGCGTTCACAACATCTGATGTCCCCGCATGCGATGCAGCGACTGGCAACTAGGCACAAGATGATAGCTAGGTGACAGCCTCTTGCAACATGGTAACTGCCTGGTCATTTAATTTCCCTGTTACAGCAAAATTTCCGCGGGAACACTACAAAACATGTGGAGTCCAGTTTCTGTGTTGGTAACCTGTTCACTATAGTCCATTTGTGCCAATTTAGGTGAACATCTGTGACCGAATTCCTCATTTTATTGCCAGTGTGGATAAATAGCTGGGTGCAGATTGTATGTGGTCATAAATGATGGTTTGAGTTTGACATTTGTTCAAAAGTCTTTATCCCTTAGCAGCCTGTCAGTGAAGGTTTTAGAGATAGGACTTTAGAGTTCCTTCAGTTTGGATTGAAACACTGGCAAATGTTGCGTGCAATGAGAACCCAACAGGGGTTGCGAAAATGGTTCCGTGGGAGTAGTCAACGCGATGGAAGCAGATGCCGTATGAGAAAAATTGTATTCGGACTCAATCAATACTGGTGAGTAATCGAACCGAATTACGAAACAGTCGCTGACAACGGAAAATGCATAACAGGGAGCAATAACGTGACTGTGAATCGAAGTACTTCAAAGAAAAATTCCGATAACCTAGCAACAGTAAGGTATGAGGAGAACCAAAGACAAAACCAGGGTTTAATCACGTTGTATTAAGTGAGTAACAGGGAAATTGCTAGTTCTCGAAAGACTTTTAGACTGATAAATGTACTAGGAAGCCATAGGGTGTATTAGCGCTAGTTCTTATTTGTAAAAAGAGGCTGGCTAATGATTATGCAAAAAAACGTGAGATTAGCCTAACCCTCCCCGATATAGTAGACATCGTTTCCGTTGGCGAAAAAGAACCTATAACTTATATGATTGTGAAACCTCAACAGCTTTACATTCATAATCCATCCACATCCAAAGCTAGTCCCTTCTGATCAAGAATTTTATGGTGGACTGAACGATTCCTTTAGAATCACAATCATTGGTTCTAAAGACCAAACATTGAATTGATGATTAGTTCCGCGTGTTGGTGTTTTACTGGTAGTTCGATAAAAGCTTTACGGCCTGACGTGTGCTGACGCTTTTCGGATGTCCAGAGTACCTGAGAACCACTTTTGACAATTACCATGGCAAATTTATGCAGGGATTATGTGCTGTCACACGAAGAGATATCAGGTGCTCGTACTTTGATAATTAAGAATCAAATGTGGTTGGTTTTGTAACCTGCCGAGATTGTTGAGTTGTGAGTGAGAGGAAACCGAAAGGTTTTATGGTCTGATTAGTGCAAACAGACATGATACACATGCAATGTTTGGCGCCTGACGTGAATTGGCGATGAGTTAAGTCCGTACACACTGCAGTTTGCTTATGGGAGACAACCTCCAAATCAGGTTTGACGAAAACTTTGTTGAGGTGACTAGTTGGGTATAGGTTGCCGTAAAAGACAAGTATGTTTCAGCCTTCTGGTGCATCGCCCGTTATGAGCGGCTTCTGTCCCGGTGTGATGCAAGCCGCGCGGTCAGAAGAAAACGTGATATCGAGGTATGAACAACTGCGCACCTCTGAGATTAGGAAATGTAAGTGAATCGTCTAGTGACAGGAATCTTATCACAGGATGGCAGTTAACCACCGAGGATAAGTCAACGATGATACCACTCTGTATATTCCCAGTAGGTCTTTCTTTTTGATCGGTGCTAGGTTGTGAAATCGATATGGGCTACAACAGCTCACTCCTAGTTCTGCAGTGAAACAACGCGGTTTATAATGAGATACTAATGCTGTGGTCATCCACACAATGTGAATCACCTTCGATGCGAGAAGAGAGCGGATAAAAAGTTGGATTGACAGAGTGATTGATAGAACAGTGCAGACGGTATGGAACACGCTGCGGAGGATCAGCTCGGATAATCGTTTGTACACCAGATGACCAAAAACTCGTTCCCGGATCTGAATTCCGCTAGACACAATCGATGTGGAGCGCTAAAGATTGCTAACAAGGATGAATACGTTATCTGTTGCTTTCAGGGCGTTCTAATGGTGAATGACACGCTGATACTGTTCAAAGAATACACAGAACTAACTTGTCGTACCACTGCATAAGAACGATATGATGGACGATGGATTGGAATTCAGATTTGTCACAGAAAAACTGAAATTGGAGAAATGGAGTTTGTGGTGAGCGAAGGTAAAAACATGGAGTGGGAGCACAGCTACGAGCAAATAGGTGAAGAAAACCAATGGAAGATGATAAGCAAGTGATATGATTAAAGTATATTTCATGCAATAAGCTTTAAAACCGCAGTTGCCGAGAAAAACGAAAAGCGAATGAGCTGATGAGAAAACGCCTTCTGTTCATTCACTTTAGTACGTCAGAGTGTAACAAGCAGACCAGTAAGAGCTTAGCCCATTCTAAATTATATAAAAATATCAACAGTATGGACAACGGGGATTCCAGCCACCAGTGTGGCTCCAACTGACCGATGAATTCACTTACTGGACTGTCGGAAATTGGCGACTGAATCGCGCTTCTCTCTCTTCTCCTTGATAGCCTCTTTTAATTGTGTATTCTCCTCTTTCAGACGTTCTACCAACTGGGTCAACTCTCGCGTCTCTGACTGCCAAGTGGCTTCAAGTTGTTCGAATTCCTAAATGATACATGCAAAATGGAGAGGAGGAAATCATAAAATAATAATAATAATAATAATAATAATAATAATAATATTAGAGATAAATGGACTTGACAACAAGTACAATGCTGTATAACCCTTGAGTCCACACCAAGACGCGGCGATCGCGATCCGTCTTGTCATCCAGCTACCCGACGTGATTTTTTGGAAGAGGCGAATAAAATGCACGACAGTATACCGGCTCATCTGAATAACCCCGCTTCCTTGTAGGTTGCATTTCGATGTGCTAAGGTTAGAGGTGTAAACTTGAACGAAAAACCCGGATAGTGTGCCGTTAGCCCAAATCCGAGTAGTAAAACAGCCACGAACAGTGCTGAGGATATTCCTCCATCTGACATTCCCGCGAAACTCCATGGATAATATTGACGGAGCCAACCTATTCTCCATCTGAAGACAACTGAGCAAAGGTATAACGAATGCACACTCGGTTCCAGGGTATATGCAATGGAACCGGAGTTACTGGTCAGTGCAATTCAGAACGCCAGCGTTTAACAATCGTGGTCAGTAAAATAAGAGTAACTGACGCTAGAGAGACAGGATTTAAACAAGGTCGGAGAAAAGCTAATCATTAACGTGAACCCAAATCCTCAAAAATTACCGCTGATTATCCGCGACCGATCGTTCAATGAAGGTTAGCCTCAAAAAAGATCTTTCTGCTATACATGGCTTACAGACGCGACCAGTAGCTGACAGCTCTACTGACTTTAGACCTGTGATATCCTCCAGGATATCGGTTCTATTGTGGCCTATTGTGGCCTAAAGCCGTACTCATCGTACAGCGAAATACAAATAATCTACGCCGAATGCTGCTAAGCTCGGACCATCTACCAATTAGAAACTAATGTGTAAGATAATTGAGGAACAAGCCGACGTGAGAGGGAAAAGGTGAAATACTATGGTCAAAACACAATACTCTCACACGGCATGTACACTTTTTCAAGCATTCCCGCCTAATGAGAAACCAAAACAGGAACGCCAGTGCTTTGGGTTCGCCATCACGTCCTTCAGGGTATCACGCCGACTAATCAGAAAGCCGATCTGAAAGACGGAGACAATTATAAATAACAGCTCTGTGCATTTTTCATGCATTTGCTCTAAACCAGCTGCTGACCTGAATATGAAAGCCATATCCATCAGGAGGGATGACTGAAAGTAAGCGGTGTTGCTGATGGCAACTATGCGTGCGCAACGGATGTACAATGCATCATCATCATTATCGTCGAAATCTTGCTTGTTGTTCGCTGATCTTTGTCTCCCTAAACGGTGCCAGTCGTCGAAGTATAATGGAGACTAGTAACTTGGTGATGATTGGGATCAAAATTATTCCACGGTGGTTTCGGCAGTCATTGCGAGATCCCTTCTTAAAAATTGGAACGATCGTAATTCGCTCTATGATGATGGAATGCGCTCGTGTAACCAGATGTTACGCATTAAACCAGTAATGGAGTCTACAAGGTCATCGCCCCCATCTTGAAAGGAGTGGGAGGAAGCCCGTCTGGCCCTGCTGCTTTCCCTTTCTCCGGGGCTTGGATGCAAGAACGAACTTCTCCTGCAGTAGGAGGTTCAGATGACACTGTTCATGGAGCCTCAGCTACATCGGAGGAGAGAGCCTGGTTAGCGCCTGGCCAGGTGGACTGTTTGTTGAAGTTTTCCGCCCATCGGTCAAACCGTTGTTCCCTATTGTGAATAGCTTGCCCACTTTTGTCGCAGATTGTTTCACTAACTGT